TCTCCAGCCAAAATGAATCAGGTGTCCTCTCTCTGCTGGCTAAACACACACAGGAAGGGATCAGCTTTTCAGAATAAAATCTGCCTGCATTTATCGGCTTCTTGGTGACAATCTAGTGTCTTCAAGACAAATGTACTTTTGAAAATCTAAATGTTCTTCTAATGCTGCCTTATACCACTTCATTTCTTCTCATTTCCAGTTCTGTCAGTTGTACTGCAGTTATTCCAGTCCTACCCCAGTCTTATTATTTCCTACAGATATAACAAAGTTTCTACACAGGGAGCTCAGAGATGTTTAAATACAACATGCAAAATGTTCAAATGTGTATATGAGTGAAAGCGACCATGACTCTGTTCTGATTCATTAGACTGAAAAACAAACCCTGCTCCTGTCAGGACTGTGTGACATGCAGCAGATTACTCCTGTAAATCAGTCTGGTCTCAGTGTGGTTGTAGTGGCAGCTGCTGCAGCTGAATGATGATCAATAGACCAATTAAAGGAGCTGAGAGTTTAATTGTCCTCTCTTGCTCTAGCTAAACCAACTAATGAGTCAATTATAGGAAGATGAGAGGAGCCTAACCTGAGAGGGCAGTCTGAAAAGAGAAGAAGGCCAAACTCAAGCCATCACACGGCAGTCTACAGAAAACACCTGACAGCAGGTAGCTCCTCCAGTACCACTAAATATTAAATCTGTGGTGTCAATAATTTCACCATCAACATTTTAAAGGGATTGTTAGGTTGTGAATCAAAACCAAAGCTTCTGTACTATTAGCGGTGAAAGAACAGCGGAGACCAGATACTTTAGTCAGTTTCACTTGATGTGTGAGGCAGCTGCGACACAATGGCAGGACTGTATATTAAGTGAAGGAGTGTCGGGATGAAGGCTGTGGCAGCACAACATGTGAGACAATGCAGTGAAACAAAGGATGATTACAGGATGGTCCATCAACCTGTAGCTCTATGAAAAGTGCTGTACAGGTTCGACTGGCTGATGCACTGAATGGCCAGCCAAATACTGCTGTGGTCGAGGATTTGTTTATTACAGGCGTAATGAACACTGCCGTCTGTCAGGAGCAACATTTTAAACAGCACTAAACATTAAACATTGATGAGTTATCGCTCCATAGAGCAACTGATGAAGCAGAGTCAGCTTCAGTTTGTGCTGCTTGTGCGTGATGACAGAAGGTGTTCCAGACAGCAGCAGGTGTGCGTGTTTATACAGAGACTGACTAGCTCTCAGTGAACACATGCTGGACAACACCAACTCTCAGCGACAGGGTTTACTGCATCCATTGAGAAGGAAGCTACAGCTGAACAAACGCTCACTTCCCTCTGAACACACTGCATTTGAAAGACAAAACTCCCCACAGAGACAAACTGGTCACTGTGAAACTGAGACAACATTCGATCTGTTTTTCCTGTTGAGAGGAATTCTGACACTGTGGCGCCGCTCACTGCCATATGATATGCCCATACTGAATTTTGTTTTACTTTAAAGAAAAATAATTAGGCTGCTGCAGTCAGGAGATATGTCAAAGCAAGTCTGTCCAGCCAGAGGCCTTAAAATACGACAAAATTATTGTTTGAATTCTAAACTTTACAATTCTATACTAAAATACAGAGGATGAAGGTACTTATTTAATGACTGAAGGGACTTTTTAAGGAGATAAGGGTCCAGAACGTCTTGATGCAACTCAGCAGATGATGGGCTAATCAATTGAAGTCACTTTGCAGTGATCAATCACAGCAGTGAGCTGCAGATCAGTTCTAACGCAATTGGCAGGGTGGACGGCGGTCATTGCGGGGTCAGTTCTAACAATCAGCATCATGGACAGTGGACATCGACCGGACATCGCGGGGTCAGTTCTAACAATCAGCACCATGGACAGTGGACATTGCGGGGACAGTTCTAACAATCAGCATAATGGAAGCGGACATTGTAGGGACAGTTCTAACAATAAGCATCTTGGACAGCAGACATCATGGGGTCAGTTCTAACAATCAGCACCTTGGACAGCAAACATCGAGAGGTCAGTTCTAACAATCAGCACCATGGACAGCGGACATCACGGTGACCATTCTAACAATCAGCACCTTGGACAGCAGACATCATGGGGTCAGTTCTAACAATCAGCACCATGGACAGCAGACATTGTGGGGTCAGTTCTAACAAGCAGCACCATGGAAAGCAGACATCGCAGGCTCTGTTCTAACAATCAGCACCATGGACAGTGGACATTGCTTCATCATTATGATAAATGGACTCACATAGTGCTTTTCTATGCACTGAAGCACACTCAGAGCACTTTAATACTATCTGCCCCTTCACCCATTCGCTCTCATAAGCTTTCACACATTCACACCAGTGATATCACCGGGAGCAACTTGGGGTTTAAGGTCTTGTATGAGGATGCTTCAACATGTGGACTGGAGGCCACCGACCCTACAGTTAGAGGATGACCCACTTACTTTCTGAGCCACAGCCACACCGCTGATCAAATAACATATCCTCTGATTCTGTATCACTTTCAACAGCAAATCAAATGACGAGGATCTGAGAAACTGAGATGGAAATTGATTTAGTTATTTACAGCAGTTTCATTGTTTCATGGACATTTTGCAGAGTAAGCAACTGATCGTGAAAGTAGCCTGAAAATCTGTGGGTTGAGACAGCCTTCACAATATGCTTCATCTGAAACCTCTTTGTCATTAACCCCTGAAATCTGAGGCAATTATTGAGGGAAAAAAAAAATTCAGCCAGAAACAGCTCCACAGCTGTGAAGCCAGAATGGCCAACCTGTTATATGGATCAGTGACATTCAGGAGAATTTTGAAGTACAATCAGTCTCCCTGTCCTCATCACAGACCAGAGTGAGGACTGAAAAACTTACATTTTTACTTCCTCCTAATCAAAGCTCTAAACAAGAGAGTGAAAACACCTTCATATGTGAGTCAGTGACCCTGATGCTGTTGGACCTGTTCTGAACTGCAGCTGGGCTGCATCTGATGCAGAATAAATGAACTACATGAGCCATGCTCGGTGACCTTCTCAGCAGGTCACATTTTAATAACAGTGCCGGGACCATGGGAGTGGAACGGGTTAACAGATTAAAGAAATTTACACTAAAGTGAACAAATGGCTGCTGCTCTTCTGTCTCAGCACCATGGTTTGAGAAACATGATAAAAACAGTTCAAAGAACAGAGAAAAAACTGGTCCAAAGACAATAGAAGTAGCTTCAGGAAGTGGTAGAAGCTGACAGGAAGTGGTGCTGAGGGAGGAGAGAAGAAGAACGGAGGCATTGTTCTCTCTTCTGATACAGGTTTCTATCTGATGCTTAAATTGAATCAAGTACAGCTTAAGATGTAATCTAGTGAGTACACAGTGAACACACTCATACACAGAGGTTACCACACTAAACATACACAGACACTTGAACGCAGCAGGAGATTTAAGGTGCAGATGGCAGGATGTGGTCGTGTTTACTGATCCTGTGATGTTTCCACCTTAATAACATCAGTGTGAACGCAGATGCACACTCATGTTGAGCACGACCATGGTCTGATCGGGTGATGCCTCCACCACTGATGCTTTACTTCACTAAAAGTTAAGTGTTATGAGCAACAGATGTCCACAGTGTTCATGATGCTGAATGTGTTGTGTTGTCATGCTGTGGAACCCTGTTAGCTCTTACTACTGCTGAGGTCACAAGAACTGAATACAGTTTTATGAAGCCTTTGGCAATAGGAAGTAAAGCAGCTGCACCAGATAGAGCCAGTGCGTGTGAGCAGCTCAGCTACACAAACAGTGTTTCCGCACAGATCTAATTCAGAGTCACGACACAGAACTCCTCAACTGCTGCTCTAGTTCATGATGAACCTACAGAGTTGACTCCATGTCTGACAGACCAGTTACAGTTTATTCATCTAACAACATTATGCATTGTCCAAAGTCTTTGGAATTGAGAGCTGCTGGAATAGATTTGATGCCTGGTGGGGCTGTGCCATGCCTGTTACTACCTGCTGCCCCTTTGACTGGCTGGTTGTCAAGCTGTGCTCATTAGTTGGTAGTTAGCAAAGGTCAGTGTTTGTTTTAAGGACAAAAGCAGCTGATTATCTTCTGCAGCCTAATGTGAAAGCCTGCCTTCTATAGGTTAAACCACCAACAGCTATAGGTCTATAGGTGTCACCAGCTGCAGGATATAAACCAAATCTAGCAAAATAATCACTGATTTCTCCAGGAACCAACTGCTGATGCTAGTTTGTCCTAGAAGCAGCAGTTTTTGCTTTGTGTACGCTAGTAGGAGCTCAGGATCTCAAGCATGTTACATGAAAGTAACAAGGCAGTAAATGGAGCCAGACTGATTACACAGAGCAGCAAGATGAGGACACCAGGTGTGTGCTCAGATGATCAGCTCCACTAAACTGTGCAGCAAATATGGAATAGTACCCTTGGTCAAACTGCCATTTCTTGGTTTTCACCTAAGACAAAACAGGTTTCATGACCATTTTAGCCACAAACACTTTCCTCCAGCAACTGTTTGCATGCGAGACTAAACCTGTACAAGATTTGTTTCCAAGTTTCAAACTGTTGGCAATCAGGGTCCCTCAGCATGTTTATCTTTTCTTTGTGTCTTTGTGACTGCAGAGAAAGGGCACAGACAACACACTTTCCTGCTCAGAAAGCCACATTCAGAGGCCGTCTGCACAAGATTTGCTTCAAAGTTTTGTTTTTAATCAATCTTTTTCTTTAAGATCAGAAGCTTCTCTCACTACTGGAAAGTTTCATCTTTGAAGTAGCACAAAAATAAACCAGCTTTAAATATTTCTCCAACTCTTAAAACTAGAATTAGGGGAAATCCAAAACAAGTTCTGCATTAGAGCTAAACATTTCCACTGAGATCAAGCTTCAGTTAATCAGCGTATGACTTTGCATCAAGCAAAACTTCTTTAGAACCTTTTTAAAGCCGCTCACACAGTGACACCCACACACGTCACCTACCCCAGCGTCGTCATGGTGACGATGGTGTACCAGAAGGCGGCCGGGATGCTGGTGAACTTGCTACCGCTGGATCCTTTCTCTGCGTAGAACATGACGGTGGCGAAGATGATGATGGCCATAGTGAGGGAGAAGAGCAGGAAGCCGAGCTCCGACGCGCAGCTCTTTAGCGTGTAGCCCAGGATGCGAAGTCCAACAGAGTGCCGCGAGAATTTGAAAATCCGAAACACCCTGAAGACACGCAGGGTGACGAAGGCGCCGCTCACGTCCTCATTGTCCCTCATAACGAGGCCGATGTAGTAGGGCATGATGGCCACCACGTCGATGATGCTCATCACGCTCTTCACAAACTTGAAGCGGCTAGGCGCAGCCAGCAGGCGCAGCAAATACTCCACCGTGAAGATCATGACGCACGCGGTGTCCAGACAGAAAAATGCCAGCTCGTACCGCTCACCGCATGACACTTCCTTGACGCGGTTCGGCGCGGTGCCGCACGGGACCGTCTCCACCACGTTGGCGAGCACCGACACGGCGATGAAGAAACCGGTGACATAGTAGAAGACCAGCGCCATGGTGGAGGTGTGCGGGTTCTCAAAGGCCCGCCACATTGACTCCCGGAAACTCATGTCCGCGGAGACCAGCTCGTTGGTCTGGTCTGTCTCCTCATCATCCTGGATCCGCTCCTGGTTCTCCCGCCGCCGGTCCTTGTATTCCTCATAGCAGCAGTCCCCGATGATCTCCGGGATGATGCCGAAGAAGGCCAGCTCTTCGTCGTAGGCGGAGATGCACTCCTGCCGCGGGTAGTGCAGCTTCCCGGTTCGGTAAAAGTTGAGGATGTGTCGGAAGATGTCAGGGTCGCGGTCGAAGAAGTACTCGCTGCTCTCCTCATGGAAGAAGAAGTCCCGCTCCGAGCTGCCCAACAGGGTGTCCGGGTACCGCTCCAGCGTGTCCGCCGGCGGGGCGAACGGCCGCCCCCCCCGCCGTTCCTGCTGCCATGCTGCTCCTGGAGCTCTGCGGAGGCTCGTTAGAGGGGGTTCACGAAGCAGAGGCGCGCCGACAGTACATCCGGAGACAGAAAGTAGAGACCAGAGCAACAGATGGAACTAACCAGAATTCCTCCAAGAAATAAAATTTGTAAGCACGGAATCGATGCGAAACACGCAACGAGGTTCGAGAACTCGCGTCAGACAAACATGTCCACATGTGATCAGTTTGTCCTCATCATAAGTCGGCGATTGTTTGTTGGAGCATAAAGCAGTAACACATCAAACAAACAAACTCACCCCCACAGACACAAAAACTCTCCCAAAACTTCAGTCTTCTGATAAAATCCGTTAAAGCCCGGGTTCTCGGAGTTTTAACTCCCCGCTGGGTCGGTGGTATTTTACTCCTGCAGCAACAAGTTCAGTAAGCATCAGGATAATCCCGCGATTCACACCGGGAGGGCATGCTCTCCGCACTCGAGTCTCCCAGTTCTCCGATCTCCCAGTAAGCTTCCTGCTGCGACAAGTGTTTCTCCGCGGAGACCGGATAACGTTACCACAGCCGCCGCAGCGCAGAGAAGATCCTCACCGAGCCGAGTCAAACTGCAGCGGAGAAACAGAAGACGCTAAGCTGGAAGCAAGGCGGCAGCTGCGTGTTCTCCGGAGAGAAACGGAAAGACACGTTACTCCCTCTCTCTCGCCGCCTCCTCTCGCTGTGTTTGGGGGTGTGTCAGTGGAGGAACTCGCAAATTAGACGCTTTACGCACAGAGAAACGTTCCTCTAAAGGAGAGACCTGCCGCTCACAGATGTGGATGTGTTCCAGAATGCTTGATGGTTTTGTGCCAGGGGGTGTTTGGTCTTCAGCCCTGGGCGGTGACAACAGGAAAGTTCGCGCGCTCCCGTTAGGTGCAGCCACTTTTAGGCAGCTGCAGGGAGCGCGCAGAGGTCTCCAAACAATCTTTTGTGATTTATTTAGTCAGCATGTTTCAGATCTGGTCTGCCACCTCATCACAGCTGTCAGAGAGCAAAGTCAGACAATCAGCACATTCATAATTCCTGACTCCATTAATCCCTAAAACCTACATTTTTTACCTTTTCATCTTAACTTCATGTAACAAAAACCATTTCTGCACTGTACATCACTGTGCGCTCCCAATCAAGTGCCCTGAACAGACTGTCACTTTGATAGAACCAAAATACAGTCTATTCAGACCTTTTCCAGTTCAAATTACAGGAAACAACAAACTGCTAAAATAGAGTGTCATGACACCAGCATTTTCCAGCTTCTGGGGAAGTTTCCAAATCTGACAGCAGTTGTAAAAATCAACTGGGTCACACTCAAATAACCACAAAGACTAATTCCTTTCTTCTTAGTTATCGTTACAAGAGAAGCCGTGTGGTCAGTTTGCAGCACAACATTCAACACAATGAACAGGTACAGTGTATAAATGTATAAATACACATTAATACAAACATGTTTCAAGTTTGGTGAACCTCTAATTTTAATTTTTATATTTAAAAACTGTTTTCCTCAGCTGGCTGTCAAATCAGGGTGACAGAGAATCTTTCCACAGCCACATGTGACACTCCTTGTTCCTTCAAAATCACACAGTTTATGAAGAGGCAGCTTTAAGGTGTAAACATGCTCCTTTGAAGCTGCAGATATTTGCTTTGAACCACATTTGCATCAAAACATCATTGTGTTTTGCTGATATTAAAAACACATCAACTTGTCCTGTGCAGTATGAGCCGCTGTGACCGAGTGTGTGAGGCTCAAGTTCAGAGCCGATGGAAGCATGTGTGTGTTGTGTGTGGCTTTTCTAATGACTATATGAAAAGGTTTAAAGAGTGTGATGATGAGGGCGTGAAGAGTCCAGAGACTGCAGTCTGGGCCTCTCAGAGTTTTATCAGGAGGACTCTAATTTGTCTAATGGAGCTGATTCAGAGTCAGTCTGAGAGCTTCACACCCTGACAGATCCAGTGGCGTGGTGACTCGCCACGGCTTGAGAGGCATGGAGATGGTGATTAAAGCAGCCTTTGGGCTCACGTGCCTGTTGGTGACTTAAGGTTCAGACACCTCAATTCATGTCAATGTGAAATGAGCTGAGAAACCACTAGAGTTCAATCTCACTAAACTTTGGGCCCTGAAACCAGCAGGCTTTAGTGTCCGCTTGGTCTGAGAGAGGGGGTGTGATCTTTGACCTCTCGGTCAGTAATAAAGTTTGTGGAACAATGTAAGTAGCAGAGAGGGATGGAAGCTGTTTGGCATTCAATAGCTGTCAGCAGTCATTATCACATTCAAAATATATTTAAGTAGGAGCAAACTGCAGCTACCAGTAAGCCAGTCGGTGCATCAATACATGTTGTAATGAGGTGACCTCTAGAGGCAGTAGTAAAAAATGAGACATAAAAAGGACGAAGTCAGGTGAAGTACTGTAGAACAACAAAGTCCATGTGGCAGCAGGTTTGAGTGAACAGGTCAAACTCAGGACTAGGGCTGAATGGGGTGTGATTTTCACGGTGTGGTACCCGTCTCAGTATTACACAGTTACTATCATCAGCTACAACGACCCTCAAAAAAATGAAAGGTCTTTGTTTACTGCAGCAGACTGAGCTGGACTGCAGCAGTAGACTGACCCCGAAGAAGGAACAGAGAAAGATTTAAAACACAGCAGATAACATGTTACATGACTAAAGCCTGTTAGTTTGCATCCTAGCACCAGTAGCAGAGCACGTATTCATGTCCCTTAAGTTAAAGTACTAATACCTCACTGTAAAAGTAACCTACTCTGTTACAATGTTAAGTATTAACACAAACATGTACCGAAAGTATTAGCAGGCTACTCACTGCAGAAGAATGTTGTACTATACAGTATATTCTAGTGCCACGTCACCAGCCCGTCTCGTGCACTGATATAAAGCAGGACGTGGCCGGTGCAGCTGCAGCTCTGCTGAACTAGTTTGGGTCCAAGTGCAGCTACTGATTATTTTCAGTACAGATCAACCTGCTGGTTAGTTTCTCCATTAATCGACTGACTGGTCTGTTAAATGTCTGACAGTAGTGAGACGTGGCACCGCTCTGCTTTAAACCATAATCACAATAGCTGCTAGTGCCAGACCGATCCCGTCTGTCTTTAATCACACACACACACACACACACACACACACACACACGAGCCGGCAAAGTCTGTGTGTTTGTGGGATCAGATCAGTGTGAGTCCTGCTGTAAGTCAGAGATCAGTCAATGACCAGACAACGTGGAAATTGATCTTGATAGAGCATTTTATACCTGACGTTTATCATTTGGGGTTAAAGTTATAGACGGGACACATACGTTGACCTGTAGGAGAGACGCCGCTCGTTTCTGAGATCGCCAAACTAATCCTGCTGGTTTAAATGTCTTTGTTACTGGATGGAGTTTGCTGATTTCAGCCGCCTCCTTTCTGCCCTTTGTCCACTGGTGTGGAGTCCGACAGGCAGTCGGGGAAGAAAGGTGTACATGCACTGTGTTTTATTTCAATACCGGTAATAACCGAATGTGCCCGGTATGATAACTCTCCATTTTCATACCGTGGTGTACCGTGAAACTGGGATACCACTGCGACCCTACTCGGGACTTGTCCAGGAAACCGGTGTTTGAGTCCAGTGGGAGACGCAATGTTTTTTAATCCAAAATTTAACCGCATGCTGATTACTGTTACCACCATGATGAACAAAGTTGTTATTTTAACCCAAGCCATGATCTTTTCCTTAAAGCTCATACTTTTGGGCCCTTGAATGACTTGATAAGTTCCCAGTCAGGTGGTTTAGCTGCAGTGGCCTTTTATGAAACTTTCATTTACAACTGTGAGCTGCTGCTGTTGGCCCATAGCTAGGCTAACTCCTCCTGTGACATTTACACCCTCCTATTTTGAGTAACATCAGTCCAGTACATTTCATCAGGTGGATATACAGTGCACACAATGTAGTCCAGCAATAGCTACCTGACTTTAGGGACTCACCTCATGCACATGCAGTCCTGCTTTATTTATTGACTGTGAGGTGCAGTTTGTCTCCTCCATCAGCAGTCAGAGAAGGTGCAGACTGGAGGTGGGAGGTCTCACTCTGCTCACTCAGCAAAAAGAACCCAGAGGAGCTCAGATCAATGCTCTGTCTGTGTGTTTACATCACACAGAAAGTTCCCGTGTGTGCACTGAACTGTCAATCAATATGTGTGATTGATGGCTCCCTGCAGAGTGAACAGGGAGTCAGGCAGTGTGTGTGTGTGTGTGTGTGTGTGTGTGTCCAGGTTTGTAAGATGAAGAATTTATTTTTAGTGGAGTTTTAAGGGGAAACAAAGGCAGAACTTGATCAAATCATTGAGATATCCTCCCCCTGTCGCTATGATAACGAAGTCAAACAGCTTCATTTGTTTCACTGATGTCTTCACACTCATTCACAGCCTGTACAGGTTAGTTTGAGACAGGTGTTTCTAATAATCTGAACCCCAACAATTTGATTTGTGTTCTGTTCTTTGGTTTATGAGCAAATATTGCACAACTAAAAACATCTAACAAACAAAATATCTGTCAGTGTGATTAATTCCCTCATTTGCTACAAATCTACCAAACAGTTGTTTTAAAGAGAAAGACAAGAGATGGTAAATGGACTGTATTTTATATAGCGCTTTCTCACAGTGTGTTACACTGGCCAAAGCGCTTTACAGGAGATTATACACCATTCACCCATTCACACACACATTCACACACCGATGACAAGAGGCTGCCGCACACTGGCGCCAGTCGAACCACCGGGAGCAATTTGGGGTTCTGTGTCTTGCTCAGGGACACTTAGGCATGCGGGGAGACCGGGAGTTGAACCACCAACTTGCTGGTTAGAAGATGACTGCCCTACCTCGTAAGCCACAGCCACCCCCAGAGATGCCATCAAGCTGCAGCGAACGAAGGAAAACAGAGCCATGACGAGGACGATAGAGTCATTTCCGAGATATTCACAGCTGTCATGTGGGATTGTTTCCTGAGTTACACTTGTTTCTCTCAACCTTATCTCTGCTTCCAGACCATATTCTCCAGAAACACTTCTCTCTGGCCAAACAGCTACGACAGATGGGCAGAGAAAATACAGAAGAAAGCCGAGAGCTGCAGGCCAGGAAACAGTCAGACACAGTAAAACACAGTGGAAATGTATAAAGGCAAAATATAAAACAGAAAAGTTGTGACACTAACATTCCCATTTTCAGCTTTCAGTTCCAGCTAGAATAAAACCGAACAGACCTGAGACACTGAGGTCTGTACACATTAAACATCAAAGTACAGACAATAAGGTTTAACTGATTCTTTCATGCAGCATCTTCCCTGCAAGTACAGGTTTAACTCAGTCTTTTTGTCACTTACCAGGTCCCTACATAGACTTACATTCATTTTCAGGGCACTAACCCTAACCTTAATCAAAGCCTACACTTGCTTTAACCTTACACCCTATCGTTTTCATAAAATTTGACAAACTATGTTGTGGGGGACCAGCCTCTGGTCAAGTGACTTCTGGTCCCAACGAAGATAGTAACTCATGGATTTTGGGCTGCACAAGTATTGAAAAACAAGGCCACACACATACACACACACAGGGCCCTGTCTTGCAACAAACGCATTGCATGTGGCGTGAGTAGCTAATTTCCCACCTATGCAATCACATTGCGTTTTTACCAGGCATCAGCCTGTCAACTTCCTGCCAGCAGGTGTGTCTGGATGAAAACGGGGTGTGTCCAGGTAAAATTTTGGGTGTGTTGGTAATATAAGGGTGCACAAAGTGACTGCACCACTGACCAGCAAAAATAAGGTCTGTGGTCAATAGTCCAATCATCACTGCTAGTTAATGGGCGCTTTGACCATGTTGTGATGCGCCCTGTCTAGGTGCATGCACAATGCTCATGCACTGTACCTGTTATACCCCCGGATGTGCTGCGCAGGACATGCAAAACTTAAAAATAAAAAAGATGACATTGAGTTCACTGGGTGTTGTGCACATCAGTATATATATATTTATAATAAAAACCATCACCTTATGCACAAGCAGATCCATTTCCTCAGTGGAAAATCTTTCT